ATTCGATTACTAGACCAACCGGGACCGCCGGGAAAAATGGTCTTCCCGCGAATCCTAAATAATCTCGCGCTGTTGCCTGGATCTGTTGGGGTGGGGGGAGATGGCGTACTGATGTTAGTTTGGTGAAGAGATGTCTATTCCCGGGGGACATCATGCTCAGCTCAGCTCAGCGAGCACAAGCCGCAATGCAAACCTCGTGCAATTCTGACTTTACGCCGCCTTTCCCTAACTCCAAAATACTACCATCAAACTAGCAACTCAACTAAATATTCCGGACAATGGTCAAAACGTTGTGTCTCGCGAAGGTCATCGCTCGAAGGTTCATTTTCGCATCACATTTGAGAGTTAGCGATGATCCACACGAAGCTTAATCTTACGCGACAGAGATAAGCAGGCAAAACGCTTCGCGGGTATCTTAAAAGTCTAACTGATAGAATAGTGCATGCATTCAACATTGTGTTCCCCTCTATAGATTCGTCCGCACCAACAACGCAGCTCCGGAAAAGCCTCCCGTCGATAACTTTGAGCCATATTGGCGGGATTCGGCCTTCTATCATCGCCGGTATTGTCGCTTGTGCATGGCTGATTTATTTGCAAAACATGGCCATTGGGATGGCTTTTGAAATAGGATTTGATGTTAATGACTATGTTTCAGCTTCGAAGACGATGTGCATATGGAGGAACGGGCAAATGGTTTTGCGAGCACAATGCTGGTAAGTGTTCGTATCTGGATTCCACGGGCAGCTACAACGGACTTCATCTAGCGCTTATTTATGGAACACTTTACATAGAATTTTCAATTTATCTTCGAAATATCCGAAAATCCCAGTAAGTTCCGGGTGAAACGTACGTAGCCTCCGTAATTACGTAAGACCGTAAATAGGTGTTTTTCGTTTTTCGGTCTCTTGCAAACAACTCTGATCAAGAAAGGTATTTTTGCAATTTTTACTGTAGGTTTGCGCGCATTTGGACTATTTCCAACATTTTGGATGGTTTAACAAAAAAAAATGATGCCAGAAATCCTAAGAACCGCACCTTTTGGTTTACATAGCTTTTGCCGCGAGGGCCGGACCTTATTAGAGCGTCATTTGTACGTCGTCAACGGAAATACACTCGGGATTTTAGGGTACTTTCTAACTTGAAACGCGCGTTCTAATTAGGAGCATAGTATGCAACTCGTTTACTTTCGTTCCGGTATTTTCTGGAATTCTGACACTAAAACCCTTCCTTTTTATCAACTTTGTTTCAGGGCAGCCTGCCACCCAACGACGCCACAATGATTGACCAAATCAGGGGGCTATCTCCCGAACGAGAGGGGCGCGATCGAAAAGTCTCCTTTTCTACGGCTCCTATTCCGGTAAGATTTTGATGGTAGCACGGGTTTCTTCAAAAACATGTAAGCCTCGAATGGTATATTTTCTAGTGCATCTGCCGTCATAATCGCACTTTTGCTTGCGCTCTTTGTTCAACGGTTTTTTCAGGTCTACCGGACGCACACTTCTGACGAATATGATCGACGAAACGACGAGATTGACCCGGTTGCTTCGTGCGCTGAATATGAATTGGAACGACGCCTTGAGCGGATGAGCCTTTTCGACGTGGAACTCGATAAGGGCCAAGAAGGGCTTGGCGTCTCGATTATAGGTATGCAGTGGATGGTTCTTTCGCATTTCTGTGGGGGAGCAACTTTTGCTCAAATTAGCATAGATTTTTCACATATAAATAATGCAAGCGTTTTTGAATTGTTTTTTACTGTTGCTAAATGCGAAAAATTTACGAATTTGTGTTAAAAATATCTAAAGATCGATTTTTCGACCGAAAATGGCCGATTTTCTACCAAAATTTCTACTTTTTATGATTTTTTAGTTGAAATAACGTTTTAGATTACTAAAAACACGATGAAAACACTTTTTATGAAGTTGCTAGGCATTTCTAGACTTATACAAAAAAGCTCGGCCCCCCTGAAAATGCGAAAGCACCCAGTGGACCTCTACTTACCACATGCTTTTTAAGGAATGGGTGTCGGTGCTGATTCCGGTTTGGAGAAGCTTGGCATCTTTGTGAAGAGTATCACTCCCGGGGGAGCCGTTCATCGAGATGGCAGGATTCGCGTCTGTGACCAGGTGAAGGATAACTCGCAAACGCAACCTTGCCGCTCGTTCAGATTGTCTCAGTTGATGGAAAATCGCTTGTTGGTGTTAGTCAACTCTTCGCTGCCGAAACACTCAGAGCCACCACAAATCGCGTGCGCTTCACGATCGGTTTGTTTTTTATTAGTGTCTACATTCTTTTGCTAGGTCGTGAACCAAATCTCGACGAATCAGAAGTGGCACAGCTGATACGACAGTCACTCGAGGTGAATTTTCTGTTTTGATCCTAGTTATTTGTTAGTCGGATCGAACGAGAGCGGCACTCCCGGATGTGGATGACGAGCTGAGCCAAGTTGAAGAGGAAACAGACGTGCTCTGCAATGACTTCCCGGCGCCCAATACGTATCAAAATGGATATCCCAATCGCGATCAAGAGACCGAAATTCGGGTGGGTTTTGTTTATCAAGTTGGTTGCCGTTCACTAGAAACTTTGGTAACAAGGTTTCTTTAAGAATCGCGGGCAGGAAACCAACGTTTTTTGGCGCAACCTAAATTTTTTATAAACCGCGGATGCATTTCTACATTGTTTTTAATTATTCCGAAGCCTAAAAACGTTACAATTTTTTAATTCAAAATTTAATTTTGGGACGAAAAATTGATTTTTTTTAGCCAAAATGGCTATCTTTCGACTTTTTGCAAAAGCTTTTCTAACTTTTTTCGACAGTTTTCCTACTTTAAATATACTTAAAACAGACTAACGCAATGTACAAACACTTTATATTTGTTTGCTAGGCCAACCAGGGGCCGCCAGGAAAAAAAATTGGTTCCCCAGCGAATCCTAAAGGACCGTAACGAGCAATAATCACGAATTAAACGAGTTTTTGCAAATGGTCGATACGTATCTGAGGTTTTTCAGTCGAAAATCCATGTCTTGGAGCTGGAGCTGGAGATGTCACAGAAGAAGGCATTCCAAATGAACAATGTCCTCGATTCGACCAAGACCCATTTCGAACAACTTGAGAGGAAATACGACCAGGCCAATCAGCTGCTCAGGAATTATCAAGAAAGGTGTTTCCATTCCCCCTCCCCTTCAATGCAAGTTTTTGGATTTAGGGAGAAAGAGCTGCTGTGTCGAGAGGAATCGCACGTTTCGCAGCTTCGCGAGAAGGATGCACATTATGCCAGTCTCGTCCAACAGCTGAAGGTAACACTCACTGCTTTGGTCTCTAAAATGAAGCTAATACAGGAACGCATCGACGAACTGGAAGGACGATTAGAAGAGGTGGTGGATCAACGGCTGTCGACCCAGAACGAAAACCATCCGGACGAATCATCGGCCTATCGACCCAATGGAGATTCAACGAATCATGAAGATAAAGCCGTAATGGCCCGAATACCCAGCCAATCAAAGGTATTTTTCTGCCTTCCTAGCTGAAAAGTTTGGAAATGGTTTTTGGCAGAATTTTCGGTTCTGGAATGTTAGCAAGGGGGAACCAAATTTTTCCATGTGATTCTCTACGGCCCTATAACGAAATATAAACCATTTTTACAGCATTTTACATATTTTTAGAAAATTTTCGAATATTTCGACTTGTTGGCCAAAAAACGTCAATTATCGTACTTTCAAACTGTTTAAAAATAGTTTTTATAACTTTCTAGCAATCAAAAACCACTAAAAACACAATAAAAATACCTTTTATATTATCAACAGGCAGGTATAGGTGGAAAAACAAAAACTGTTCCCCCTGCCATCCCCTCCTCCCCCCCGCTAACAGTACAGAACCGAATTTTCTCCACCGACCAGATGCAATAACATCGACGTTTTATGCAAAGTTATGCCTTTTCTTCCAGTTGATATCGAAGAGAGATGCCGAGGTGTGCACCGGATGGGATGATGATAAAGTGTCCTCATCATGCGACAGTCCCGTTCCACGTATTTCGGAACCGGCCAGCCCTGCGATGCCGCACAAATTCATCCACCGAAAGCTCCTTTTCCCATTGAAAAAACGCTACATCCTGAATGAGAGCGAGTTTTGGAGAACACCCTACGAGCAGATGCAGGTCATCACTTATCCCCTTTCTTTTAACAACGTTCTTTAGGGTCTGCAAGTGTTACAATGGTCTGTCGATGATATTTGCCAGCTACTGGTGTCGATGGGCCTCGACAAGTACGTGCCAGAGTTCACGATGCACAAGGTCAACGGCCCGAAATTCCTGGAATTGGACGGGGCCAAGCTCAAGGTAAGGTTCTAAGCTTGATATCGGAGATGGCGGCTTCAGGGAATGGGCATACAAAACCACTCGGATCGATCGTTGATCAAGAAGAGGGTGAAGACGATCAAGAGTCGAATCGAACGCGAACGGAAGCTGCTGGAGAAGGAGAGCCGGATGCGAACGTTGATGCCACATCCCGCAGTACCCGTCTAATCGCTAAGGTTAATTTATATTTTTTCAAAATTGTCCAGCCTTGTAATATTGACCGGTTATTGGCTGCCCAGCGGACTGTAAAAAGCCAAAAGAACCAACTTCCTACCAAGCCCCCTCAAATGTGATATTACATTTAATGTCCGCCGTTAATGATTAATTGATAATTTATGCTCTCTCTGCTGACTTCTCCTAGTTTTCACCCATAGAGTTGATTTCTTAAAAACCCTAATCCACCATTCCTGGCATAATTTCGCTAGCATATCCCAAGCCATTTACTCAAAATGTGATCACGTGCCAAACAGAGAACTAAGAAGTACTCAATCCCCTCTACTAACTGTTCGGCAGCGCCATATTTTCATTTCTCGTTGATAATAAAATTCTTTCGTGAGATGATTGGTTTTATGTTTTTATAACACATAAAACATCACGACAATTGCAGATTGTAGCAGAAATTCAAAAGTAATAGCTAAAACAAAAATGCTAACAAATCTCTTTAGTAGGTGCTTCTAGTGGGATCGATCCAATCGAATATTTGTCTTGAAGGAAGGCGTTTCTGGCTTCATCAGATAGCACTTTCGAGTAGAGGAACTCGTTGTATTCGCTAAACAGGAAATAAACTGCAGGCGAAAATCACCACCTTTTCTGAGCGTCTAGTTCAGCTTCGCAGGTTTTTGTTGAAGATCCAATTGAAGTACTTCGCGGCGAACTATATGAGCTTGTGTACAAACGACCAAACTAGCTTACACTTCGGGTCGGCTGCGCAACGATTCGGTGCCGGAAGGCGTTTTTGATGGAGTTGCGACGAATTTGTACTTGGGACTAAAGGATGAATGAAGTATGAGGAACAGTTGGAACACCTACTCGAACAACGATTCCATGAGAGACTTGGGTTTGTAAGAAGCGCTGTATGGATCCTGCCGGGGTGTTTGTGGCGAAGACGACGCTAAAAAAACAACTCTTGTGTAAATCGGACGGCAACCTTCCCACCTGAATAATAGCTGGAATTTGGCGAATAAGGGTTCTTTGTGGATCCGGATACGTTGGAATAATCAGAATAGTTGTAGGGCCGGTGATGACTAAATCCAACGTTTATACCGACTCAAAACAAGCCTCTGAACTGGAGCATTGGAGTGCACAAATCGACAGTCGTCCCCATTCCGGCACGAGTCCGCCTTGCCCGGAATGTAATACATGCAGGGCTTCATCCTAATTAAATGGATAGCAACCGTTTGTTACTGTCAACGAAAATACACGCATCACGACCACAACACACCATAAACGAACAGCCGAATATCAATTGAAAATAATTTTATTTCAACAATCTCAAAAAACAGATAGATAAGCTCCAAAGATCATTGTGAATTAAGAACAAAACGAGGCTATTTTAGAAAACGCACCCAGTAGTAGCTCCATAAGGATATGACTGTTAAAAGGTTGATCCAGAGAGGCAAATGTGCAGCAACAATTACATAAGAAAATAGTCTTCAGCCCTGACAATAGAGGAGATTTGCTGATCAGAAACTGTCGTCTCAATCACACGCTCGAGGGTTTGCAAGCCACTAGAATACGAATTGAGACTCCACGTCTCCACCAATGAATTTACAAAAAAGAAAATAATGAAACTAGGGCTAAGAAATGCACAGTGAAAATTATTTAATGGCACGAGTCGGCAGCCAATTCGTCCGCTGCTGACTGTGTGGGATCCACGATTGCGAATATCCAATGGCCGACACCTGAAAAGAAAAAATTAGCCTTTTTAGAAATGCTACTGAAAAGACGAAGTTCTGACTATAAAGGTTACCTCCGCCAAGCACCACAGCGGCCGTCAGATAGTAGTTATACGTCATCGCGATCAACATCAGCCAATAAGCAAGCACTAACTAAAAAGAACTCTGGTGGTCAAGAGTCTGTATGTACCTGTATCACGTATAGGCCGGGCAACAGGAACTGCAGTGCGCTGCGGCGGTTTACTGGTGTGACAGACCTGAAAATAGAGGCGACTTAAATTGCCAAAAAGGAGTGGTTTTTAGAGGATCGGGGAATTTTGCAATGTAATATATTCGATAGAGCTTCGAATCCCAAATAAATTCAAACCACTTTCTCATCTTTCAAAAACTGCTCAACGATAACGGTCTTCGAGAATACGTTTCTCAACGTTCAAATGGTGCTCAAGAATGCTCAAAATCGGGCCTTTCAGAGCGAATTTTCTCGTAAACCGTAGTCGTTCAGCAATTTTTGAATGGTGGGGCTTGTTCAGAATTTGAAGCTCTATCGAATAAACTATTCCACATCGCAAAACCCGAAGATCACCTGATAATCACATCGTTTAAGCAAAGCGACAAACCTTGTAAGCCTCGTCTGAAGGTGAACACGGCTCCATTTCAACGCTTCATAGGCGATGCCCATGATGAAGATGGCCAAACAGGACAGCAGGAGTCCCAATGGCGTCGAGATGCGCCAAAACTCGAAAAGGATCACCTAAGATAGTTTTTTGGCAGGATGACGGTACCGTCTTACCTCTTCGTAACCACCGTGAAACCACATTTTCATCATGTGATGCTCGGCGCCATGATGATCCGAGTGTCCTAGAAATGAGATCGATATAGAGCAAAACATTGGTACTAATGCAGTTGGGGGAGGGGGCCGAATTTGGTAGTAGGGGGTTACAACGCTCTTCTTAAGCTACTTGGTTTCCAGCTTAAGCCTAGGCCTAACTTAGCTTTAACTATATAGCCTAGGCGTAAGCCTAAGCCCAAGTTAAGCTTATCTTAAGCTTTAAATTGCCTTACGAGGTCATGCTGGGGTCATTTAGGGCTTCGTTTGTATGAAGCTACGCTTATGCTCAGGATAGCTTAGCTTTTCCAGAGCCTTCTAGTTTAAAAAAACGGCATTTGGAGCGTCTTTTAGTCAAAATCCAGACTGCCCCCCGCAACTGCATTAGCACCAAAACGTTACCCGAATGTGCATGATGTTCATGGGTGGCTTCCACGGCTTGAAGTGGCTTGCCATCAAGTTCCGTGAAGAAATCGTCCACGTTCTGTTGCCAAACGCTTGAAACGAGATCGCTATTATTCTAAACGAGATGTTTACGGTGCCGCACTTTCCCTTACCGGTACCCCCATTTGCTAGCTGCCTCGGCCGGTTCCGCAGTAAAGGGCGACCCAGGCAATAAGCGCTAAACAGCAAAATAAACGCGCTGCAGAGGAGCAAAGATAAGCAATGACACACAGATACTTCCTGCCTGTTATTTAAGGCAACTCCAAAGAAAAACATTGGCTGAATCATCGAATCTCATCAATTTATCATAACTGGTAATAACAAAGCAACAAATAAAACGTAACAAAGAATGTCAACAACAACAACTAACAATTAACAATGGAGATGCAATAACAAACCTAACATAAAAATGGCTAATACTGGAATGTGTCGAAATGTCGACGCGCCAATAACCAAAATGAATATGAAAAGCCAATCCCGGCACTAAATTCACATCGTGGCAAATGGCGATAAACGGTGGGAACCCCGACAGCGATATTTCATTGCTTATTGATTGTGCTGGACGCACATCTCGAACCATTGACGAATTGACTCCGAGAGCACCGACGGAAGTTGTGCGACGGATCTAAAAATCCGCATTTTAAAAAATTAAATTAATTACTAATAATTCATTTAGAAACAAAATTAATCAAACATAAATAATTACTTGATGACTGCGTAGAACGGGAACGGGAACAGCGATAGATATGGCGTCAATTGAACCTGTAAGTAGAAAATTATAACTCAAAAATAAAATGATATACCTTATTGTTGGCAAAAGAAGCGACGGTCATCTCTTCGATGCTCTTCTTCGCCGTATCCAAAACGACAAACAGCACCGTGACACCGGCGAAACGGCGGAGCGCCTCTTTCACCTGGAAAGAAAGGATTCCTCGAGACTTGACAAAAACCCTACAACACTAATTTTTCAAAAGAAAGGTTGGGGGTATTGCTAACCTTTTTTCTAAATAGCGGATGCGTTTCTACATTGTTTTTAACTATTCCTAAGCATACAAACTTTACAAATTTTAATTAAAATGTAATTTTAGGTCGAAAATTGATTTTTTCGACCCGAAATGACAAAATTTTCGAATTTTTTTCGTACATTTTTCGAAGTTTTCTACTTTTAATATAGTCGCGACTTGCTAAAAACAATGTAAAAACACTTTATACTTTATTACTAGGCCGAACGGGACCGCCAGGAAAAAAATTCTAAAGAATCTCTCGTCCTAAAGAACGAAAAGAAACCTTTTCGGCTCCCTGATGAAGAGCGCCGCGTCCATCGGAAATGATGATCAACAGCTGCTCACTGTTAGATGTGCGGGCCACGTCAAGGCTGTTCGCCGTCCACCGAAGCATTTCTAGAGAACCATAATCAACCGAAAAAAAAGGCCGAACCAGTTAGATCGGTCTTCTTCTGATCAAAATGGAGGGCAGAGAGCAACGCGTAACCTGGTTGTTGAGAGTCCGTCCAGTTACGCAGCTCACGGACCGTTTCACCAAAAGAAACCACCTAAATTGAATTAAAAATACAATTAAATTGAATTTTTCGAAGTAATTAAATTATTAAATGATTAAATTAAATAAATTACCTGAACATGGCCGGCATCCACTTTTCTGAGCGCTTCATCGACGACACACACACTTTCACAGGTGACGCGTCCCATCCCGAATTCGTCCATCGAGCCCGAATCATCGACGGCAATCAGCACTTGGTATTCGCGCTGAGATCGCTTGGTCCTTCTCATCCAGATGCGATCCTTTCGATAGTCCGATGCAATATACGGAATTAGACGGCGCATGTTCAGCCGCTTCCCGGAACGGTAATCACCCCTAAACAGCGTGTTTTCACGGAAAGAATTGAAAGATCTCACTGAAGTTTTGTGGCGCGTTGCGGCTCGAGGATAAGCCGCAGGTTTTCTGCCAATTCGGCGGACAGCACCTCCACCGAGCGAGAAATATCCGTCCACAGCGCACTAACGTCCGATTGGGACCTGAAAAATGGCAAAACACCTCGTGAATGCGGAGGAAATTAAAAGGCGACGAGGTGCTAATGCAGTAGGGGGCAGTCCGAGACTAGTAATAAGAGGTTACAGGGAGCTCCGCTTAAGCTACTTGGTTTTTTTAGCTTAAGCTTAGGCTTAACTTGGCTTTAACTATGATTAGCTAAGCTCACCTTCGGCTTTAAATTGCTGATGAGGCCAAAATGGGGTCATTTGGCTTAGCTTAGCTTTTTGCAAGCTAAGCTCAGGCTTTGCTTGTATGAAGCCAAGTCTAAGCTGAGACCTTGCTTTGTTTTCGAGAGGCTTAGAGCATAAAAAACGGCATTTGGAGCGTCTCGTAGTCAAAATCTGGACTGCCCCCCCAAGTGCATTAGCCCATTCGAAATTGTCAAGAATTACCGATCATCAGATGGTTGACGTTCGTCATTGTCAGTTGAACCCTCAGCAGCGCCACCAAGAACCATCTGCTTGGTGATATCTTCCGCCAGCGCATAAAGATCGTCGGGCGCTAGATGCACGGTGGCTGGTAGTTCGGTCAGAAGTCCACCCTCGTCGCCAATATCCTAAAACAAAGTAAGTTGAGCGTAACAACCTAAGATTGACCTCGGTGTCCGGGTGATCGATGCCCAACAGTGGGTGCTTCCGCTTTGCTTTCGGCAGGTCAGCAGCCTCCTTCTTGCTTTGTCGGGCCTCCTCTGTCGTTCCATGTCCAAGCATCTAACGCTTTTCATAAAAATCCAATCACAACGAGTCAGACCTGCTTGTTACAATCCTGCTCAGACTTTTCGGCGAGCTCTCCCTTCTCATCCTGCTCCCCGGCCATCTCCTCCGTTTCCATCATCACCACCTCGTCATCGGTGGCCAGCTCGCGCAGGATTTGGTCGGCTTGTTGTGCCGACTCCTCTTCTCCCTCTTTCTCCTCATCCTCATGGCCCGCATCTTCTTGCTCATCATTTGCGTCTGTGCCGACGTCGCCCACTCTGTCTCGCTTGCTAAAAACTGGTATGAAAAATGCGTTGAAATTTTACGTGTGGCCCTCTCCCTCGTCCTGTTCCATATTCTGTTCCTCTTGTTCACTGTTACGTCCGCCAGCGTCCTGTAAAAAATTTGTATTATTAAAATTCTATATTTAAAACAATTATTAAAACATTTAAATCTCAATTATTAAAAAATTAGTTTAAAAATAACCGTTTGCTCCAGATCCTCAGCTTTCTCGCCACCATGCCCTTGTGCGTCGGCTGGCTTCTTCTCCGGCTCAGGTGCGTCGGGTCCTTGGTTCTCATCCTGTCCAGTCGCTTCATCCATGTCCTGGAGAAAAAAACACAACAATTACTGTACTTCCCGAATGGATACCTCCTCCGGTTCCCCATTTTCTTCTTGCTCCGCGGCATCGCTTGGGGAATCCGTATCGTGAGTCTCGTCCTCCTCGGCGTCCTCATCGACATCATCATTCTCATCAACCTTTCCATCAGGTAGCTCTTGCCCTTCTTCATTATCGGCATCGTCATCTTCTGCCTCGTTGTGCTGGGTCTAAACGAATAGTTGAGGGGCCAAGTGACTGCAAGCTGACCTGAGCGTCTTCCGGGGTATCGCTTTCGTCATTCTGCTGGTCAGCATCTCTCTCATCGACATTCTCCAGACCGTCGTCCTGCAATTTTATTGTCTTTTTGACAAAACTCTGCTTACCTTTTGAGAATCATCTTCCTCCTTGCCCTCCTCTGGCTCGATTTCAGGATCTCGCTGATCATCATTCGCCGCCAATTGGTCCGTATCTCGATCAGCAGCTGAAAAAAAACTAGTTATTTTTGACTTTGACAATTAACCTTGGTTATTTTGATCGAGCTCCTTCTCCCGATTCTCCTTTTCGTCGTCATCCCAAAGTTTCGGGTCGAGCTGGTCTTCCTCGGCTTCATCGACTTGGCCCATCTCGTCGTCAATCTGCGGCTCCTTTTCATCGTCCTCTTCATCATTGCCCTCCTCGTTCGTGTCCTTTTCCTCGCGATCGATATCCCGAATATCTTCAGGGAAGTCCTCTTCCATCTCAATTGGCGTGTCATTCTTTGTTGAGGGGCCCTCGGGGTTGTCTTCTGGTTCATCCCCCTGAATACACATTTATGAGCGCTTCTGAAAGGGACGCCGAAAGCGGTGCTGTTATAGGACTTGCCTGCAGTCCCTCGATTTGCCCTGTCTCCTCCATTTCGTCGGTCACGTCCTTAGCGTTCTAAAACGATGCGTCATAAGACCTTCAAAAAGATGCTCACATCAGATCCCTTTCCTTCGCCCATACCACCGCCTTCGCCTCCTTCAATATCCTGACCATCGCCGCCTTCAGTCTTCTCAGGTTTTGGAATCAGGTTGACGTATCCCTAAACGATTTAAAGGTTAGACTGACTTTTTTGATGCTCTAATGGCGTAGTCAAAATCCCGACAAAATAGCGAAAATCTCGAAAATTTTTGGGAACTTCCGGGGGGTAAAGTCAAGTCTAGCCGATTTAAACAAGTCAAGCGAGAACATCCAATATAAAGAAAATCGGATTCCAGTTATATTCCCACCTCCTTGAACAATTGCTCGGCGAGTGAAAGTAGCCTGTGGTAACAGCCCGAGAAAGTATGAAGTTGACGCAATGAACGCGAGACGAGGGAGAAGAACAAGTCGAAGCAAATCGCCGCCAGCCGGGCCGTCTCCTCCAAATCAGAGGGAACCTGGCCAATTGAAAGACCGCGAGCCATCGACGATAGATGGGAGATAACCTGAAATCAATTAGAGTGGAGATGTACGCTACGCTTCACCTTCGCCACACCACAATCGTCAACGACCTTCCAGAGGACGTCATATTTTTCGAGGGGCTTCTGACTTTCCGTGAATCTCTCCTCCTCTTGGCACTGAAAAAGTGACGTTGACGCTGATGGTATAAAGTCCTGTACCTTTTTGTAAACGCACTGGATGTAGAGCAACAATGGTTCTTGCGAATATTCGACATCTTGCCAGGATATTTGCGGTATCTAAAGGGCCGATAAAGGCGCATTAGTAGCAAAAACACACCTCGACAGAATTTTTGAGGGCTGAGAGGGAGGCTGTCATCTGCAGGACCTCGGCCTCGAAATAAGGCTGAATCTCGTTGAGTGCCTCGTGAAGGGTGTCAATGGATTGGTCGACTCGTGTGAAGGCCACCTCGATTGCTGACCTAGAAGAAAAACAAGGTTATTCAATCCCAGATAATTGGCACCTTTCGTAAAGTTTGCAGTCGTCATCGATGCCCTTGCCAGCTCGTTTCAAATCAATGAAGGCCATCTTGACATCAGTCGCTATTTGTAGAGCATGACGCGTGGCTTGCTCGAGCTTTTCCAGCTCTGGCTGCCCGCGGTACAGTCTGGAGAGCGGATGGAGATGCGGATAGTCGTCTGAAAGTCTCTAGATAAGACACTAACGGATCATTATACCCGATGATGGTCCATTCGGTACATCGAAAAGTCTTCTCAAGCAACGCTCCAGTGCAAAATAGACACGGTCGGCGCAGTCTTGAAGAATCGGCAATCGTTCGTTCAGAAGCGTGTAGCTGGGAAAATACCCATCCTGCAAGAAATGATTAAGTTTTTTTCGAACCAAACCTTTGTATTCTTAGCGGCCACTTGCAGAAGCCCCTTCAAATTCCGCAGGGCCAACAGCTGCTGGGCCCACGTTTCCTCCCGCGTTTCGGCCTCGATTTGCCAATGCAGCCCGTACTCGACCATGCCAGTGAAATGGCCGCTGAGCAAAATACCTGTTTGCGGACTACGACTAGCGATGTTACCAGGTACTGACGCCCAGCTGATCGTTAGGGGTGAGCGCCCGCCTCGTGATGTTGCTTCGGCCAGCGGCAGCAGCTCGCACGAGCGATTCGCAGGGCAACGTCTTCACATCGTGCTTCAGACCAGTGACCGATTTTTTCGACAGAGCCTCTGGAAATACAGGTTATAATCGTAACAAAAAAACCAGAACCTTTGTCGATGATCACTGCTCGACGTGCATTCAACCCAATCGTCTGTGCTTGTTTGATCACCTAAACCGGGCTATCGAAACTTCAGGAAACGTACCATAGCAACCGCCCGTTGTCTTCGATTTCGCTCATATCCCTGTAGCTTCTCCTTTTCAGCATCCTCGCCGACGTAATCGACACGTTTGCGCACCAATTCGTCGCAGGCCTGATTTCTACATTTTCAGGGTTTTCAGCAACTCCCACCTGGATCTGTTCGGCAAGCTCGACAAAAGGTTCTTCGGCGCATTCCCCTTCTATTTTGCCGAGCGCCTTTTGAACGAGATCTTCAGCCGTCCGCAGCCGTCCACGAAGCTCTTCTGACGATACTGCCTCGGGAATTCGAATCGTTTGCCTCATCAAATCATCGACATCTATCAGCTTCTCCAACAAAGGCGCGACTCCCTCGTTTGTCGTCTCCTAAACAACAGTTTCGGTTTCAGATAATACAAACCCGGAATTTCTTGATGATTTTGAAGATCTGGGCATGCGCCTTCTTTGACGAAGCCTTGATGTTGTCCAGATTCAAATCGTTGTACTTCGCAATGTGGACATAGTCCTAAAATGGTGAATAATTTGGGCCTATTACCAGCGGCTTACTTTCAACGACTGTTCAGCCGGCTTGTGTGCTTCTGCCAGGCGGGACCGGACAATCGGTAGGAATTGGGCAAAATGGGCTGCTGCTGAGGAGAGTTGAATTGCAAGGTTCGCGTGGCCCAGCTTTTCGGCCCAACGTGCGAGATCGCGTACTAAAAAATGGTATAATACGGCTGATAGCGGGTCTCTAAAAAATCCCATTAGCGGTCCGCAGTAATGTTTGATTTTTACGATTTAAATAACTATGGAGCTTTCGACGATGTTCATTTCCGATTAATAACTCGGAACTTCCGAAAAGCTATTTCTCAAATCCGAATTTTTAACCTAATTTTTATCCTTTTTGGGCGTAAATTAGCCAACTTTCTGCAAAAAATCATTTCAATCGGCTTCAGTCCCATCCAAGCTGTGTTTTGTCAAACGCCTTTCAAAAAGCCGAACTTGGGCCGCCAGGAAAGATGTAACAATTTGGAAAATGGGGTTCGTTAAAAAAATTGCTTGGGAAAAGCATCGAAAATTCAGCCAATTTCGCAAAAATGCTAGTAATTGTTATAAAAATTCTTTCAAAAATCGGAGAGAACTTCTCCTCAGCTCGTCGAGAGCTTTTGATAGATACCTAAACCGTAAAAAAACGGACTTCCGCTGCGGGCCATTAGAGAGAAGTCTGTTTGGGACACCCGTATACCCTAAAATAAAAAAAAGTAATTACCTGTCTGGATTCTGACCGCGAAGTCCATCAAAGAGCCATGATGCAACCATTCGATCGCCTGAGGCACCAGATTTTTGGTTCTAGACAACATTAGGTTATATAAAAATAATAATATACCCATCGGCGGAGAATAGCGACTCGAAAAGCGGCCAAGAGACGAGATAGGTGCGTGTTTCGGAATCGTCGATAGTTCGACTCAACAGGATCGACCAGCAACGGACCTGAGCGCATTACAAGTAGAGAACAATACCAGGATACCTCCATTTTCTTCCACTCCAACAGCAGCTCCTTCAGCGGCATCATCTGGTCCCGAATAGAATTCGCGCGATCAGCCAATTTCACCCATTCCTCGCATGCACCTAGGGAGGGTTTATCGTCAAAGCAGAGGGCGTCAAACCTAAGAGCTCCTCCAGGCGGATTGAAAGCTTCATATGCGTCGCGCTCAGTGATTCATCCTCAAAGGTATCGATCGCCTCCAGAATACGCTTCAGCGACACCACCTAGACATGTAGATATAGCAAATTGCTAAGGTGACGTCTAAGCGAACCTCCGGCCATCTTTCCTGAACTTCCACGGTCCGTTTCCTCAGCCCATCCAAGTATTTGAGAGCTTTGTGGATTTCCAGCGTGCACGATCTTCTGTAGACATCGAGCGGGCCTCTTTGTGGGCTCTTCGTGATGATGTTTTTCAGCAAGGTCAATTGGAGCTCTGGAAAATTCAATGATTGCTCAAATCTAATGCCAAAGCAAACCGCTAGCTTGATACTGAACATCGAATGGCAATTGTCCGACGGAAGCGGCCATTCTTGACAGCCAAATTCGCGCCACGCATCGCCTTTCCTTTGCCGTGTTTTCGTGAGAGATATCAGTGTTGTTTGACACTTCACAGAGCAACTCGCACATCTGATCCACGTTGAGAATCTAATACCAGGAAATTATAGAACCGGAAATAAGCAGCAACCTGAGAATCCTTGTCAAAGACGCCGTCGAAAAATTCGTTCCTTTCATCGTCATCTCGCTCTTCCTGCGGCTTCTCCCGGTAGTAAAATTCCTTGTCCTTGGCCTTTTGCACGTTTTGCTCAAACCTAAAATTGGCGGCTAGAAGTTCAGCAAAATGAAAAAAATACCATTTCTTCCACTCTTGTCTGATCCATTCAAGAGAAACGAGCGTGTCGCGTTCTTGGGCCAGATTCTCGGCAATCAGCGCCGCCTTCAAGCCCAACGGCAAAGGTGATCGTTCCCGGACGGCCCATGTCTCCAACTCTGGCAACCGGAAGCCTTGGGCCGTTTGGACCACCTAAAAAAACACACATTGAAACCCGTAACATACAAAACAGCAACATACCGTAATTTTAGGTGGTATCGAGTGTGAAGTGACCAGGCTCTGTTTTTCGATTTGCTTGTCCAACGAGGCGATTGACTGAAAAAAACCCAATAGTAAAACATCTGAACATTTGATAAAAATTGGTTCTGGTTTGTTAGCAAAGGGGGAACCAATTTTTTTCCTGTGATTCTCTCTACGGCTCTATAAAAAAATAGAAACCATTTTTCAGGCCTGGGAATTTGGCGGGCCGGGCCGGGCCAGGGCCGAGATTTTCGGGATTTTAGGCTGGCGGGCCGGCCCGGGCCGGCCCGTCAAATATGGAGGGCCGGCCCGCCACCTTGCCAATAAGTTATATTGAGCTTAAATGAGGTAATTTAATTACATTATAAGTTTTCCTTATTGATATTCAACTTAAATCATCTGTTTAAACAGCTAAAAATAAAAAAATCCGAGTTTTGGCTTAACTTTGATTTATCAGGAAAACGACCCGGGTTCGATCCCGGCCGAGGTCAATCTTTTGCTTTTTGCTTTTTTGGCCGGAAATGTTCAGAAATGCTGGGAATATGCCTTGTTAGCCTTATTTAAGTGTATTTTCGTTCAAACTACACGTAGGCGTCAAAGAAATTGAACTCCACTAAGTAAAACAGACCTTTTTCTATTGGACTAAAGATGTAACTGGTTGTATGCTGCTTTATAAATAAATTCTCGTCACATACTATACCTAAATCGGTTGTACAAGCCTATCGACGATTAACGGACTTGATCTAACACGTTTTTGTAACTCCGGAAAAATTAAATGATGGCATATACTGGTTTGGTAAAAATGTACCCAAAATGTCGGGCCGGCCCATTCCCAGGCCTGCCATTTTTATAGCATTTTACGTAGTGTTACATATAAAAAATCTAAAATTAATAATAACTTTTCGAAAACTTTTGTCTTAGTCAAAACGTAAGAAAACTAGTCCAATTTTTCGAATTTTTCAATTTTCAAAAATATTTTGCTACAACTTTCTAGCAATAAAAACTACTAAAAACGACGTAAAAATTATAAATCATCAACAAGTGGAAAAAAGGTGGTTTTCCCCCTGCTAACAACCCAGTACCAAAAAATTTGATATAAACCGCCTACCTCCAAAACCGCGGTCCGGACAATGTAGAGCCCAATGATGAAGGTCAGCGATACATCGACAAACGTTGGGTAACGCCTCAGCAATCCGTTGATCATCGAACGAGCGCTCATGGAGAATGAGATGAGTTGCTGCTGCAGCAGCTTCATCTCGCCAAGATCCGCCTGAAATTTAACATTAATTCATGTTTTGCATAGCTAATCCTAAATGTAATAAGCATTTGTTTGATCGAATAAAAGACATCTACAACACCATTCCCGGCAGATTCCGCGCCTCGTTCCCGTTGGATGCAGTGTCCAGGTATTTTTACAACATCCGCAACATGCAAAATGACGGTAGGCGCGCCGCCCAAGGCGCCGCCGGGCGACCCGTCCAGTGCCACGGCTCCAACCACCAACTCGAAAGGTTACGATCTCTTGTCTGTCTTCAAAAAAGTGTTCAGTCCCTCCTGGAAGTACTGCGCTTCCCCCGCCACCGCCTCATCCAGAGACCATGATCACCGTCAACATCAAATCCATCATGCAGAAAGTTCCGGATGTCGGTCTTGATTTTGATGCTTTGCTGCTTTGGCGCTAATGCAGTTGCGGGGGGGGGGGGCATTCCGAAATTGGTGCTTTGCCAAGGGGTTGAGTTTAAAAACGGCGTTTGAGCGCCTTGTAGTCAAAATCCGGACTTCCCCCCCCCCCGCAAGTGCATTAGCACCGATGCTTTTGCCGATCGGAAAAGACCTGGTTTTCAATGCAGCGTTTTAGACCAAAGTACATATTCGTCGCGATGCCCCTGCCCGGGATCTGCATCAGATCGTCAGCGAAAAAATGGATATTGGCGTCGACAAGATGACGCTCATCTACAATGGAGCGGAAGTTCGGTCAGTTCTTCACAATAGCCCTGAATGCATTTTCTTCTAAACTTTGCAGGAACGATGAGCAACCGCTGTCAAACTATGGCCTCAAGAATGGGGCCAATGTTACGGTCAACGTGAAGCTGTCTTCTGGCGGGGGGCTAGCGGGAAATTCGGTATTTTCACCAGACAAAATATTTCTTAATTCAAGCTTCTCCGGTTCTGGATTGTGTGTTTTTCTACAGCCCTATAACAAAATATAAACCAGTTTTATGGCATTTTACATAGTTTTTAGATGGAAAAAATCTAAAAAAAATAAGAAATTTTGGATTTTTTGGTCAAAAATTTATGAAAAATGACCAAAAAAGGTCAAAATTTTCGAATTTTTTATATTTTAAAATGATTTTTAAACTTTCTAGCAATCGAAAACAACTAAAAACACTATAAAAATTAATAATATAGCATCAAAAGGCAGGCATAGATGGAAAAAAGTAGTTTGCCCCCCTGCTAACAGTCCAGAACCGCTTCCCCAACCATTCCGTGTGAAACCCTTCATTTAGCGCGGGACCACTTCGCTAGTCTTCCTGTTGCCACCGATGATTGTTCCAAAAGATGTGGGCGATGCCCGGATCACCGTTCGGGGTGTAAATCGTCGTCCCCCACGCGCCCCCAAAAGCCCCAACCCCGAGCCACCCAGCATGAATTCGAAGCAGAAGCACGAAGAGCATGAGAAGACGCGTACGCGCATGAAGGTATTCATTGCCGATGTGGTGCAGAGCGTTACAGATTTTAATGAAGCGCCGTGGGATGATGAGGACTCGCAGCTTGTCCGCCGAACCGACAGGTTCTGTCGCTGGATCGGCCGTTGGATCTGTGATGGGGTATGAAAGATAAACTTAAGACTATTAATTCCGCGGTTCAGGACTGTTAGCGGGGGGCGCCAAATTTTTCGCTGTGGTTTTCTACGGCCCTATAACGAAATATAAACCATTTTTATAGGATTTACGTAGTTTGTAGATATAAAAACAATGCAAAAAATTATCAATTTTCGAAAATTTTTGATAAAAAATGTATGAAAAATGACCAAAAAAGATCAAAATTTGCGAGTTTTCAAAATTTTTAAATAGATTTTTCATAAGTTTCTAGCAATCAAAAGCTACTAAAAACACTAAAAAACTATTAGTACAAAAATACATTACCAAAATACAGATTATAAGCAGATAGGTGTAGTAGGTGGAAAAAAACAGAAGTAGTTCCCTTGCTAAAATCCCTCCCCCTGCTAATAGTCCAGAACCAATTCCGCCTAATCGACAAAAGATTCCCAAATATTCAGCTCGACGATTGGGACACCGAGTGAGCCGGTGACCGGGGAACTGAGCCGTCCCTTTGACATGATGGCGGCCAGCCCGATGCAGTCGACGACATCAATCACGTCTTCTTCCGCTGGTTCGCCCGCCAACACGCCAGAATATCGGCCTGTCACTGATAAGGTAAAACCCTTATTAGAACTGGCCAAAAAATTATATAAATAGGAGTTGCTGCTCTATTTCCCGTGCGCCGAGACAGAGGCCGAGCTGAACGTGATGCGCAATGATCTCTTCACCCCGCCCCAGAACTTAAAGGTCGGGTGCTCCTTCGTTAGCGGGGGGTATTGTCGCAGGTTTTTCAATAATGCAATGTTTTCGGGGCAAGTTTAGCTAAAAACACTATAATTCAAGAAAGTTATAACAAAAGCAAAAAAATCCTGAAAATGGGGTTGCCAAGCTATTTTTCGAACTTTTCGATATTGTCTAGATTCTGTTAACGCTATTGAATAAAGCATCAAAAATAAAGGAACAGTTTCTGATACAGCTCAAAATAATGTAATTTAAGGTAAGAAAAGCTATCGACAAAAAAAATGTTTCCCCCGATAAACCCCCGCTAACGAACCAGAACCAAAGGCGTCGAAAAATGCCTTAAATGCCTTATCAACGCTCACCGAACCTTTTTTCTAGGAGTTGAAGCAAATCCGTTCGGAACGCGAGAAGGTTCGGCGCACACGATGCCGGGTAGATTTATGCCTATCAACCCCAGGAATAAAGCAATAACCATTGCAGGCGTGCAACCGTCGCCTCTCGTTGGCCCAACAGGAGCAAAAGTGCAAGTGCGAGCGGGCCTTCTGCTACAAGGTAAATTTGGCGAACGCCGTGCGACATCGTCGTCTGACAAGGAGACGTTTTTTATTGTCGACGGAGTTTCGAAATTGTGCAGAATTTTTGACTGACCAGGGTTGAAAAACCGCTTCGCGGCTTTTCAACCCTGGCCCCGTCTAGGATTTATGAAACTTTGCATAATTCTTGCCGAAAACCGATGCCCAAAAAATGAAAACCACGCCCTCCCTTCCTTTTTATAAGCCATTCCCACTTCCGGCGTATGCTAATTTTCCCTAACAAAGAGGAAAGCCAAGATTTTTACAAAAACCTAATTTTAATAGCGAAAATAGCAATTTTTCAAGGATTTTATGTGTGTGCAGTCGATTCCAGCCCCTTCTTTACCCTATGACGTTTCTTCTATACCGAAAAAATGCTTCCCTGAGGCTGTAGGTGCGGAACATCCAAACGGAAGTGCATGCAAATATACACACACACTATTTTTTTTATATATAGTAGGATTAAAACCCTTTTTTCCAATATTCAAAATAAAAATCAGAAAGTTACGACGTTTAAAAGTTTAAAAACGGCGAAAGTTGGCTATTTTGGTTGATTGTCACACTTTAAAGCCTCGTGACTTTGAAATATAGTCGTTTCGCAGCTTCTGAAATGTACGTTTTGATGAGTGAAAAATTCTGCACAAAATAGGCTGGGTCCCATATTGAAACTCCGTGGACACTAAAAACACCCCCCTTTTTAGCATGTCGAGCCTGAGCAGCACAACTGCCCCATCGACTACAAGAATACCGGGCGCAGCAAAATCCAGAAGGCAATTTTCGAGGATTGGGCAATAAGCTAATTTGGTTTTTTTAGGAGAACCCGAAGGTCGAGGCTGGCGGTGCGCGCAAGGCCCGCGACGAATAAGCTCAACGACGATACTCATCTGCTCCAATAATTCGCCCACCTCCCCCACCTCCCCCTCATCCGATTAATTTTGTATTTGTAAACATAACTCGAAATCTCTTCCTACTCAAAACAGACAAAGCAGTGCGCTCTGGTTCAGCAAATAAACGTTTGATTAAAGCTCCCGTTACACGATTAAAGCTTACCTCCGCATTTGAACGCGCTCGCTCAGCAGTCTCGGCCGTCAGCAAGATGAACGATTGGAGCTCGGCAATCATTCTCGCGTATTCGGCAGCATTTTGGCGGTAGATGCAGTATCGTTGCGAAGTGCGCCGTCCATCGATCTGAAAATGTGATTTGAGCCAGGCCAAATCCATTCTCCGATTTCGAAGTGAAAACGCTTCATTTTGTAAATTTTGACGCGATTTCGGGATTGAGAAACCGCGAAGCGCCGTTTCCGCGAAAAAAACCGCTATTGCGAACGAACCTCATCTCGAAGTACTTGTCTTCGCCGCCACAAATAGCCGATAAATGGGTGCGGTGAATTCGCGTCGCATTCTGGTGACTGCGCCGTTGTAAGTCTCCGGAAACGGGCCAAACAATCCAGCTGTCCCTCCACAACGTTCAGCGAGTCGAGCAGATATTTCTCGCTGGCTTCGTCGAAGACGATCGGATCCATTGTCTCCGGGGGCGGGCAAGCCTTCTTCATCAGTGCCAGACCGGCCGCCAATCTGAAAGGAAGGAGGAGTAAGAAGTTAGAGATGTCGTTCAAAATGCGGTTCTGGACTGTTAGCAGGGGGAGGGAAATTTTTAGCCAGGCAAAAACAATTTTTGTTTTTCCACTTATTACTTATTACAACCTGTCGATGATATATTATGTATTTTTATAGAGTTCTAGTAGGTTTGATTGCTAGAAAGTTATAAAAATATTTTTAGAATGTTGAAAACTCGAAAACTTGGACCATTTTCGTGCATTTTTGACCAAAAAAAAATCAAAATTTTTCGAAAATTTATTATTATTTTTATATTGATTTTATCTAAAAACTATGTAAAATGCTTAAAAAAATCGTTTATGATTTTTTACAGGGAGTTGGAGAATCACGGGGGAAAAATTTGGCTTCCACCCCTGCTAACAGGCTAGAACCCAAAATTTTACCTGCCAGCCCAGTCGACTTCCAGGACCTCGGCACCACTTGTCCATCCCTCGAAACCGTCCAGCATACTTTGCAATTCGCTCCTGTCAAGCGTTTTTTTGTGTGAATTCAGAATAGTACCCGATAGAACGTTGGATCGCTCCAGAATTAGCCGCCAGCCTCCAGAAATTGTCGCGCAGTTCATCCAATGAGAACGTTTTCAGATCACGGACCTGTCACGAATTAAAATATAGTAGTAGCAGAAATTACCTTCAATTCCGACATGGTCGCATCGTATCCCAGCGCCGCCCATAGTGTATTGTTGATTTCGAAAAATGGGCTCACATTGGCAATCTCGACCACCTAAAATGGGTGTAATGGCAAGACAGATCCTCTGACCGCCGTGTCTCCAAAATAAGACTGGTTGCACAGTGCGGCAATTCTGGCGATCCGTCTCGGTACCTCACCGCGCCAATTCAGATGTGACAGTGACTTCAAGTCCGAATATTCGTTGGCAATCTAAATATCATCACAATATTATGAAAGGGAAACCAACTTTTCCCTGGCGGCCCCGGGTGGCCTAGCAATCAAATTGAAAATGTCTTTACATTGTTTTTAGTATGATTTCACTATGTTTAAAGTAGAAAAACGTTCAAAAAGAATTAGAAAATCGTCTAAAAAAGCCGAAAATTTGGTCGTTTTGGGTTGGAAAAAATCGATTTTTCGAAATAAAATTCAATTTTTCAATAAAATTGTAACGTTTTTAGGCTTAGGAAGCGCTAAAGACAAGCTAAAAAACGCAACCGCTATTTATAAAAAATTAGGCAGGCCTAAAAAAGTTGGTTTCCCCCGAAAACCCTAAAGGACCGAATTACCTCATCAAATTGCTGGCAACCGTTCGATCGAATGAAGTGCGCAATCTTGATGGTCCGTTGCAGGAGTTTTTCGACGAAAGCCAAGGGGGATTCGGGCATTTCCATTTCCATTTCAGCGACGGTTGTGGAGAGCTGGTTCACAAATTCCTAAGCAGCGCTTATAAAACATAAGAAATAGCACCTCGGAAGAAGCCTGCGTGTCAAAGCCGTCAACAGGTCGCGCTGCTTCATAGGCGACCAGATATTCACGGACGAATGCTTCGTGCGATTCTCGAGACCACACTGAAGACATTGCGAAGAAGTTCTGTTTCAACTCCACGGGGCTGAAAACGTATAATGGTAAAGATGGTAACGGTAAAAAAAGTATAGGGCGAACCAATTTTTTTTTCCTAGCGGTTCCGGTTGGCCTAGTAATCAAATATAAATTGTTTTTACATTGTTTTAGTACATTTTAACTATACTTAAAGAAGAAAAAATTTCAATAAAGTTGGAAAAATGTTTGAAAATTCGAAAAGTTTAGGTAGAAAAAATTACTTTTCGGCCTAAAATTACATTTTTTAATTAAAATTTGTATGGTTTTTATGCGTAGGAATAGCTAAAAACAATTGAGAAAGGCATCCGCTATTTATAAAAAAATCTAGAAAATTTAGAAAGTGCCCGAAAACACATACATGTTGAAATTGGCCGACTGCATGGCGGACCAAGCGATGTACAAGGGAGCTGAGCCAAAACGCATTGACAGCTCCTTGCGAGCTTCCAGGGAAAAGGCCAGTAAGTGTAGCAGGAACGCCACTATCTTCTCTTCGTCCTCCTCATCCGGCATCTAAGTTTTTATGATTGTGATGATGAATTTATGAGACTGACCTTGTCCGATTTCAAGTAATGACACACAGCTTGTAGCAATGGCGCGATCTGATGAAGCCCATTAAAGGTCAATTCGTGGTTGGACAGTTCGTCTGAAAAAACCACATTAACTAGAAGACATACAGAAAATCCCACATTTAGTAAGCGTTGTAGAAAGGGCTTCGGCAGAATTTTCGTGGAGGAATTCCGAGTCGACAAGGCGGAGGCACCATTCTTTCAACAGAGTAATCGCGAAGACCATCTTCCGATTTTCGCTCCTGCAAGAGATATTAATTAGTAGACGTCCAGCGCACCGTAAGACGCCGTTGAATCGTCCGTCGATGGGGTTGTTTGTCGTCTTCAAATCTTCGAGCTGAGCAGCAAGCCGGGTATACAGTTGTCGGCCTGGAAAAAGCCGGGAAATGAGCCCCAGAAAAGAGATGTTTGACGAACCAAACAAAAAGAAGGTGCTAATGCACTTAGGGGGGGAGTTAGGATTTTGACTACAAGACGCTCCGAATTCCGTTTTTTTTAAACTCTAAGCCTTTGGAAAAGCTAAGCTAAGCCTAAGCCTACGCTTAACTCCATACAAACGAAGCCTAAGCTAACCCCTTACCTGGAATTTCGGACTGCCCCACCCCCCCAAGTGCATTAGCTCCAAAAAGAAAAATGTATTCTACCTAGCAATGAACCTTCTGAAGCCATAGATACCAGCGTCATCTTGCTGCCCGCCATGGCCATCAACAGCATGTAGAGATGAGGTTCACCCTGAATTTATTGATAGAATTCAAACGGCTACCGACCTGTCCGGCTAGTTCCCATTGATCACAGGTCCATTTCATCAGCCCGGAGATCGACATGGCAGCGGAGACGCTAATCGGCACCGAGAGCGGCCCAATGTAGGGTTCCAGATCTTCGACGGGAACACCCAGATGACGAAGAGCGTCTTCAAACCCGATTTCCTTCAACAGAACGCCGAGGCGAAGCAGTTGCTGACTTTCCAGGGTGGACAGGGAGTAGATCAACTAGAAAATCACGATGTCAAGCTTATAATTCGCCGCTCTACCTTGGTCGGGACTTCAAAAGACCGATCGGCCATAGATCGGAGCACCGCCAGCGAATCACAAATGTCGGAAGCCCAGTCTTGTTCAACGAAGATTTCGACGCTACGGTTCCGCATTGCCCTTGAGACCTCGCCGTTCAAAGTGTCCATCGCGAAAAAGATTCTGGAACAGGATTGTTGGTAAGAATCACTACTAGTATCGGTTGTTTTAACCCCCCTCAAGAATCACATGCCACCAAGTCAATTTTTGTTTTACATGCCATATTTCTTATACTACCACAAAACGTGTTTGTACGCGTCAAAACAGGCGGTGACTCAAGCGACAGCTGACACCCGCAAACCGTTTTCGAACGTGGGGCGGTTTTGGGCCCCAACTGGGAAAGGGCCCCCCAACGTAGGGAAGGGACGTTTGGGACCCAACTGGGAAAGGACCCCCAACTGGGAAAGGGACCCAACGTAGGGAAAGGGTTTTTTTCGGGTCAGTTGCGAAAACTAACAGCTGACCGCAGGAGGCATAAATAGAGAGACTTCCCCTTCAATTTCACAAAGATGGAACGTAAACCTTTTAAATTCCAGCATCCTTGTTCTATTTTTGTGTTTTGTCAATCCTTGGGCGGCAAGACAACATGGACAATGAAATTTCTCGAATATTTAGAAGAAATTCTAGACGGCCACAAAGGAATCCAAGACATTTACTACTTTACCGGATCAAAACATGAAATTGAAGAAAATATCCAGCAACGCCTTCCAATTTTCATATATTTGAGGGTCCACCAAGCGACCAGCAAATCGAAAGCTTCAAAAATGCCATCGTAATCCTTGACGATTTGATGCTTGACATGAAAGAAAGCGTGATGGCGGCTTTGACTTCGCGAATTACTCACCACCAAAACTGTACACTAATTTTCCTAAGTCAAGACGCATTTCGGACCCGGCGTACCGCCCGCATCAATGCAAACTACATTGTCCTTTTAAGATCTGTATCAGACCTACTACAAGCTCGCCAAGTGGGTCTACAGTGCTTTCCTAACCAATTTCCTTATTTCTGGGACAGTTATCTCGATGCAACTGCAAAACCTTATCAATATCTCGTAATCAATTGTCATCCAAATTTGGAAAATCGAAACGAACGTCTCGTTACAGACATTTTTCCAGATAAAAGGCAAATTTTTTTACCTACCCAAGTAGTCATTTTCGAAAATGCAAGGTCGTCCACACAACCTGCAAATTTTTCACAAAATTGACAAAGCTACAAACCCAAAAGTGGTGATTCGAAAAGCAACCGACAAAGAAATACAAACCCTTGTCGAATTTATTTACAACCTAACCATAGGTACCGTACCTCTCTATAAATACGAGAAATCAAGCCTTCTACCACATTTGGCTACTTTGCAAACCTTGAGTAAGCTACGCGATTTTACAAAGGCGCGGCAAACACTTTTGCTTCACGAAAAACTACTAAAAGTTATTACGAAACCTGCGTTGGCATTTGAGAATGACAGCTTCGAGAAAAAGTTTCGAAAAGATGGTCCTTGTACCATACGACGAGCAGCAAGGTGAAGGTTATGCTCATACACCTCGTGAGAAAATTGTTGAGCAAGCCAAAGAAACTGAACAACAAATGGCAAACGTACTACAAAGTACACTTCCCGATGATATGAAAATGCAAATGTATAACAAGTTTCTCAATTCCTTGACACAACTTGTCCAAGAAATTCGCAAGTTTGACCCCTTGCCTACACAAATTTTGAAAACGACGATAGTTGAAACCGCCAGAGATCAGACGGCCACGCAAAATACACAAAATAAAGCGAAGGGCTCTGCGAAAAGGGCACCGCGAAAGGTTTTGCAACAAAATCCATATGAAAAAGCTATAAACTTTTGGCAAAGCACGTCAAGACGGACAATAAGAATAGAGTCTTGGATACGCAAGGTGAAACTATTGAAGGTAGCAACCTGTTTGAAATTGCAAGGGCGGCAGCCAGTGAAACCAAACGACCATTTCCCGTAGGTTACGAAGACGCTTATCACCAAGTGCAAGCAAAAACTCCACGGCTTGTGAAACAATTGAACGAACCCGTGTTTACACCACGTACAATTCAAAGCATACAAAAGGAAATTTTTCCATCTAGCCAGACCACAACTAGTCCACCCTTGGCGACTGACGAAAAAGTTTCAACCGGTGACTTGGTCAAGCGCGTTAGACAACTTCAGCGGGAGATCCTAGAAAAGCGCAAATTGAAGTCCGAAGCCTGGGATGGCGATGACGAAGACCAAACCGGTAGTGGTACCAAAAAAGGTTCAAAGTCGCAAAGTATCACTAAAATACTTGATCTTCTATATACTGACCCTGAGTCGAATATTGCTTTACGTCAAGAAATAATCTTGTGGCAGAAGCTAAAAAATATGGCATCACAAAGCGACAAGTTGATACATATCTGCAAACTAAAAATTCTTACGTTCTTCATAGGCGAGTTCTACACAAGTTTCCAAGAAAAAGTTTATTGAACTAGCATGAACAGTCACCATGTCGCAGATCTTGCCGACTTTCAGAAAATTAAGCAATACAATGACGGGCAACGCTATATTTTGGTAGTTGTAGACTTGTTTTCGCGAAAAACCTACGCCAAACCTCTACTAAACAAGAAACCTCAAAGTGTCAAACGACGTTTTGAGCAAATTTACAAGGAAATTGGTGATCCGCCACACTATTTGACGACAGATCAAGGGCTTGAATTTACCGGTGAACCAATAAGGCGCTACCTCAAAAACAACGAAATTCGTCACATTTTAACAAAGGGAACCGCTAAGGCAGCACCAGCTGAACGTAAAATTCGTGATCTCAAGTCGCGCATCTACAAATATTTCACCGAAAACAACACTTACAATTGGGTTGAAGTGCTACCGAAAATCGTTGAGGGCCTGAACAATACGCCAACAGAACCCCTAAAAGGGTTGACGCCTAACGAAATGAAACGCGACACAATCATACAACCTGATGGTACACCTAAATTGCGAAAACCGGACCCGCCGCTAGCACTAAACGACTATGTCTTGCTAAAAAAACGCCAAGTGGTGTTTCGAAAAGCTTACAAAGGCACGTTTTCTGTGAAGTGTTCCAAATTAAACGCATAGTCAAACCTGCAAATTCTCTGCACCAGTCTTTTATCTAAAGACATTGCAGGGGTTTCCTGCGACAAGTATTTTACAAAGAAGAACTGCAAAAGTGTGACAACCAAAAATGTACCGAGTGGAAAAAGTTTTGGGTACAAAGGTCATAAGTAGGCAACCTCACAGCCTTGTCAAATACCACAAAAAACCTGGTGTATTTAATGGGTGGATACCCGACAAAAGCCTCATTTACACGGACAAACTTTGATAATGGAAGAACTGCTTTCAAGCCGCTCGTCGACCACCTCACAGTACCGCAATAACATTCACATGGCATGGGCTAGAATTGTCATCATTTTTCTCATTGCTATAGCATGTCTCGCCAACATGACAATTGCCCATATAAAGGGCAACGATGTGACAGTGTGGCTAAGTGCTACCCTTTCTGTTGCTTGTCTTTTGGTACCCTCTCCGTTGAAAAGCAAAGCTATCAAAGGAAATGAGTGAAGACTTTTACGTAACACTCGTAGGTCCAGGGCGTCGTGAAGGAAAAGGTTCCAGTTTTGTCACGCACCTTGCCAAAGAAATCAACCTCTATCAAACGAATGGTCAGCAAGGTTATTGGACTTGCGCCCTTGTCGACTTTGCAGCCTCAATGTCATGGGACCAAGTCCTTGAACCGCAAAAATTTAGACTATGGTCCAAGGACGCCAAAGAAACACATCTTTGGCTAGCACAAGGCACTTACTCAACCCCTGCTCGACTAATCAACGCTCTAAATGCAATTTTTGCCAAAACTCTAAAAGGAAACGCGAAGCCCCTTTAGTGCTTGAGAATGTGCAAACTGCAAAACCTTTTCCAAAAATAGTCCCACTCGGTGCACCCAGTGCAGAACCCGAAAAACCAGCTACGCCACCACCTGCTCCACCCCAAGCCCCTGCCACGCTACCACCCCAAGCTCCTGCACCGCCACCAAAACCTCCCACACCACCACCACCAAAACCTCCCACGCCACCACCCCCAACCCGCTGCTACGTCAGCACAAACAGTCGCACCCTCAAACAGAAAAACCAGCCACAACACCTGCAAAAACAGTTGCAGTACCAGCAACGCCGAAACCAGCGCAACCTCAAGCACAACCCACAAACGTTGCAAACAATCGCCCACTTCCGAAACATATCCCGCCTAGTG